GTGTGTGTGTGTGTGTGTGTGTGTGTGTGTGTGTGTGTGTGTGTGTGAAAGAATCCTGTTGTCCACGCCCGCCCCGCTGTGCTCCAATTTCTCCACCCTGGCCCTCTGCTCCAGGGATCCCCCCACCCCTCCATGCCTCGATTGGGCAAGCAGGCAGGCACTGTGTTAGCTCCTCCCAGCCCAGCTCTGCAGGTGGCAGGTGAGTCCCAGGATGGGGGGCGCAAGCAACAGGGGGGAGTAGTGAGCAGGGGGTGGAGCCTGGGAAAGAGGCAGGACCGGGGGCGGAGTCTCAGGGAAGGGGCAGGGGAGCGGCAGGGTGTCTAGTTTTCAGCAGTTAGAAAGTTGGCGACCCTAACCGCAATGTACATCCCACATTGCAGTAATCGGTGCGTGCAATGCTGACCCCATCCTCTGCCCTGTCCCACCCCGCTGCTGACGCAGGATTGTTCCTGACAGTGGATTTTATAGGGCTTCGTGCGGTCCCTTTTAAAATGACTCCGGCGACTGAGCTTATGACTGGTCAAAAACTCATCAAAACATTTTTCTGTCAAAAAATGCCATTTTGGTTAAATTGATTTTTTTTTTACACAAACTTGAATCCATGACAATGACATTTCATAATGAAAACGTTTGGAAAAAATCATTTTGAAAATGACAGAATGTCTCGTTTTGACATTTTCCGACCAGAACGTTTCCATTTCTCTTTTCAAAGGGACTTTTAGTTCAAAATGTGCTCTATTTTATGGTTTTTAAAATTAAAAATTTTGGAAATTGAAACCAAACATTTTGATTGACCTACAATGAACCTTTCTGGGGACTTCTGTTTTGTGAAAATGTCCAAATTTTGGCTTTTTGTCCCAATTTGGGAAGCCTTTCCCCCCCCCGCATCTCGAAATTTTTTGCAGGATGGACAATCCATTTTCCAACCTGCTCTACTTAAAACATGTCCTCCTGGGGCAGTGCATATAGACACTGCCTCTTGCTCAGAGAATATTCTAAAGTGAAGAATATAGCCCAGCATGACTGGCACAGAATTGCCTAGCTCATGCCCTTTTCGGTGGCTAAAAAGAGGAATTTTCAGTGTGCAGAGCTGTCTTTCTGTTAAAGACAAAGAGTGAAAAAAAAATATAAAGAAGATAATTTTTTCTAAAATCCCATTCAAATGATACTTTCTATATTCTTAGAAAATTACCATTCACCCACACTTTAACAGCCCAAGGCAATAATTATGGAGCTCCCACTTTCTTTGGAAATAAAGTAATATATTAATCATTGCGAAACCCTTTAGGTACTTATTTGCTTTTGTAGTTCAGGAAATAGAAATCATTTCTTTCTGGTTATTTATTACACAAAATTTCTCTATGAATGCAGCAAAGTACATGCATTCTTTGCAAACGCTGAGTGTTTTTTCCTTTTAGTTGATGTTGGCTAGTGCGGTGCTAATGCAATAGCCGACATCTTGACCAATACAAGGAATCAAATTGAAGATTTTTTGAATTAAACATGAGTCACTAAAGCTTGAGGTAAAGTGGCATGGTCTGTAACAGACCCACATCCTCTGCAGAGTGGGGACACGTAACTAAAGCTAAGAAAATAACGGATTTGTCCATTCAGGGGCTGAACCGAAAAATCTGGAAAAAAATCCAGTTTGATTTGAACCAATGCCTTTTTGTTGTTGTTATTGAAGCATAAAATGTTTCAGACAATTCAAAGCAATTTGGGGGGACGGCGAGGGGGAAGGGCTATTGTTTTGATTCAGCCATTGGATGTGTGTGTTTTAACTGGCCAAATTTGAAATTGAAATGCGATTTTGATTCAAAAAGTCAAGCTAAAATGTTTGGAATCTTCCAACAATTTCCCCCCAACCAAAATCATTTGTCAGATTCAACCAGATTTTAGCAAATAGTTTGGGGGCCCGAAAAAAAGCATTTTTTTTGGTGCAAAAAAAATTAATTGCAATTTTTTGGCCCAGCTCTTCACGTCACACATGATATTCACCAGGCTATGCTAATGTGTGAAGTGGCATTACTAGTTCTGAAATAGCCCTCTAACGTTTCAAAATTCAGAACACATCCGGGGAACGAGGGAAGCGCTTTTCAAACTGGCAGATATGTGGCCACAGGAATAACCCAGTTTGCCATTTCAGGGCCAGTTCCTACATATAAATTGGCACAGTTCCACCAACTTCCACTAGGCGAGGATCTAGCAAAACCCTCAGACCCGGGTTGGAAGGGACATCAGGAGGTCATCTAGTCCAACCCCCTGCTCAAAGCAGGTCCAATCTCCAAACAGATTTTTGCCCCAGATCCCTAAAATGCCCCCTCAGGGATTGAACTCACAACCCTGGGTTTAGCAAGCCAATGCTCAAACCACTGAGCTATGCCTGACCTTAGCACACTGTGGGTTCTACCAGAAACATATCAATACATAACAGTAATAAATGACAATGGGGACAGCCAATTACAGTGAAAGTCAACACGTAGAGGTGACAATGGAAACTGTCTCCAAGTCTCTGCCACAGGAGTGTCAGATGGCCTAGAAACGGCCGCTGAGTGATGTCTGCATGGTTTGTACCGAGACGAGCTGCCGAGCGGAAAATCATTTTGTGATGTACTCTGGTGGAAGAATGACATGTTGGGAAACTTATGTGCTGACATATCTGGTAGAACGGAGGCACAGATATTGTTCAAAAAGGGAGTCTCTCCCCAGCCACTAAGAGTATATTGACACATCCTGTGGCAGCCCACAGCAGCAAACCTCTAAGCCCAGACAGACCTGGGCACGTGCTACGGTGCGAGACAGCACTTTTAAGTTGCATCTCAGACTGGAGTTCAGCCTCTGAAACCCACCGTCTCCCGAGGCTGCAGAGCCCCGAGCGGTAGCCAGAGCTGCAACACCTCTATGGCTCAGTAGCATGAGCCCTACAAGCCCAAGTCTGTCAACCTGGGCTCTCAGGCTCACTTCCGTGGGCTGTGTAAACGTACCTTTTGTACAACGGGGCCCTGGCATTGTTCTTTAAAGAGGAGGTGCCCATCTTTCCACATAACGGTGCTGGGAATGGCCCCAAATCCTAGCTCTGATGTTACCCAGGATGACTGGGGGTGAAGAACTTGCATTGGTCAAGCAGATCAGATGGTTCTCTTGGGTCATTGCGTATAGAGCGTGGGCTGGGTTCAAGGGAAGGTGTAAGAGGGGATGTGGAAGACGTTGTGGTTTACTAGGTGGGGAAGAGGGGTCAGATGTCTCAGTCTCCCATTGGGGAAAAGGCAGGAAGTGGATAAGGCCCCAGATCACCAGCGTACCCAGAGTGAGCCACACAAGAGGGAGAGGTTAGACATAACCGGCCATACAGCAGTACTCACAAACTGCGACTTATCCGCTGGAGGGGCCTCGGTAATGGACATGAGGTCTTCTTCAGACAGATGCTCCATCTCCTCCAGAGCCGACCCGGAGTACAGGACCGCGTCCTTCACAAAGATGCTGACCGCTCTCAGCATGAAGGAGACAAACAGGTGCATGTGGATGTAGTTCCTTGTGCAGTGCAAACGCCTGGAAGTGGGGAGGGAAGACACAGGATTGGAACGGTTTAGACATCCAACTGGGCCTAGTCAAGCTCAGCTGTGCTTCCTAATGGCACCGTGGGGTCGAATGATTCTGCACAGTGCTGATACCCCAGCACACCTCTTCTCTCAGGAATGCCGTGCCCCTGCAGTGACCCAAAGCTACAGCCACAGTCCCATTGCAGTGCAAATTCACCCCTGGGGTAACCCAGGGGACTGGTTGGAGGCTGAACAAAAGCCACCGAGGCAGCTGACCTTGCAGTCGGGTGGGATAGCAAGACTAAAGTATGGGGGATGGGTTTAAAGGTCCCTGAGATGTCACACTCAATTATATACCCTGCAGGTAAGATGTAAAATTAAGGCCCAAGAGAATTGTGGTCATTTGTGGCACAGGGTTGTTTGTCCCTGTGTTAATAATTACATCCTATCTGGCTAGATTCCCTCTTCAGCGTCAATTAGATCTAATATTCTACTTCCCTTCCTGTTGTGTAGTGTTTTTTTGTTTTTTTGTTTTTTACCTATTGGGGTCCAGGAAGTGGGCGGGCGTAAGCTAAAGGGTCCCCCCCCCAGACTAAGGGGAGGATCCACAAGTGGCCAGGGCTTCCTTCAGCCGGGGCGCTTGCCACTCGGCCCCTCCCGCCACACCGCCTGCCGGGAGGGCTCCACGCCGCTCCCGCCTGCAGGTGAATTGAAGGTCAGCGGGGAGGGAAGGACGCGGGCTGCCGGGCTTGCTGCAGACCTGGCACCGGCTGGGGCAGACGGAGCGCGCAGCCCGCTTCCAGCAGGGTGCTCCCCTCCTCCGCGCTGCCGCCCCCTACAGGGCAGCCGGAGCAGTGAACCAAAAAAAAAAAGGCGGCCGTGCCGCCCTAGGATTGGGCGAAATGCCGCCCCTTACAATCTGCCGCCCCAAGCACCAGCTTGCTCGGCTGGTGCCTGAAGCCTGCCCTGGTGACAGCCCAAGGGGTGGCCCAGAATCAGTACTCGGGATTTCTGGGTTCCCTGCCCAGTGCCCGCTCTGGGTGCAGGTTACAGCAGTCTGTTGGCTGCTCTAAATTATACCAGCTGGCTGTGCTCCTCAAAGGCTGGGGATGGTGCAGTTTCCTTGCCCAGGTGAGGTTGCAGGAAGATGGGCCAATTCCAGGGGCAGGTAAGGCTTCTAAGGCGCGCCGGACTGCTGTGCTACTCAGCTTGATTTAATTATTTGTTTTTGCTCTCTGTGATTGGCCAGTGTTGCTCCAATAATTAGCCAGCCACTTTGTTTCGCTCCGCCCCATGAGCAAAACGGCTATGGCCTCTCCTGGCAGGGACAAGGTGTAGGATCCAGCTCTGTGGCCCCCCCTGCTGGGACAATCCCTACCTTGGTGCTTACAGTCTATTTCTGCTTCCTGTGCACCACAAGGGGACCAAAGAATCAGCGCCATTGCTTCCATGTGCTCCATTCAGCTCGTATACCTTTCACAGACAGAGGCACTGGGTCTTGAGCTCTGTCTGCCTGCTGTGATTACATCAGGATTTGGGGGGGTTCTACCCAACCCCAAGAGGTTTGTTTGAATGGCACCACACACAACCCAACCAGTAAATATTAGAACAACCCCTGTGTCTGATAGATGAAACACACACACAAAAGGAGGAGCTTTGTTATTGACAAAAACCTACGTCTCCTCCCGTCCACTCCAGGTGACCTGTGTGATTAAACTGATACACCCCCCCCCCAAAAGGAAAAACAGAGCCGCCTACCTGAAGTATCCCAAGATAAGGACAGCAACTGTCAGGGATCCCAGAGAGATGGAGTATCCAACAGTATAAATCAAATAGAGGCGATAAAAGACCTCCTGCAGCACAAATGATGAGGGGGAAAAACAGTACTAAATTAGAATGAATTCTGCTTTACTGTAACCCAACCATACTAGCAGCATAAAGATTCAGGCTCTTTTGTCTGCTGAGAACAGAAACACAAAGGTCAAAGAAGCAGTGAGAGCTTATGGGAACAGGATATCATGGGGTCTTCTGAGTACATGGACAGCATGCAAAGTGCTACACCTATTTCCTAGTGAACTAAAGTTACTGTGAATTTTGCAGGAGAGTCATGATTTATGTGGGTGTGTCAAACTGGACTTATGCAGCATCTTTCAGCCCCAAAGATCCCAAAGTGGATTGAAAACTGTTGGACAAATCCTGACGTCCTTTGTTGGCTCTTACTCAGGCAAAACTCCCATTGATTTCATTATGATTTTTGCCTGACTAAGGACGTGTAGGATTTAGCCCACAGGATATGCAGCACCACTGACATGCAACCAGCTCTGGGGTGGAGGGCATCAGCACATAACACAAAGATGCATGGAGGAGAAATTTGGCCTAGGGATGCTAAGAGAAAGCACCTGTTCTTCCAGAAGTGCCTAAGGATCGTTATTGTCCATGCAAGACTTTGGTTTGCAAAGTCTCATCAGAAAGGCCTCCTTGCTTTAGACTGCATCAATCTCTAGAGATCAATCTTGCATTAAGGGTACAGACTAGATACTTAAGAGGTCTTTTTCACCTCCAATTTCTAAGTCACAGCTTCAAGGAACCTTCTCTTGCAGGGAGTCTCCATTCTCCCAAGGAAGGAACAGATCTGTCGCAGGTTTGAATATCAGCTTTAGCAGGGTTAAAACATCTACCAACATGACAGATCATCATTTCGTCTTCGGAACAGAGAAATAAACTCAGGAAGAAACCAACCAATTCAGCATTTTTCTTCCTCCTCCCTCCCCCGCCCCGGAGTTTCATTAACATTAGTAACGCTGGGCTCAGAATGACAGTTCTGATTTTGATCTGGGGCTAGAAATGCCACACTAGAATGCTAACCTCAAGCCCTATTGCATCAGAATACCCAGCCCTGGGAACATGTCCTTGTGGTTTCCTCCGGCGGAGTGCTGGGCTTGCCAATGTTCTTTTTTTGTTTTTCAAGCAGTGGTTGCAGGAGGCAAGCAATACGGGGCTTAACTTGCTTCTCCCCCAAGGAAGCTGGGTATGCTGGCTGTGCTGAAACATGTGCTTGCATCCACCGCAATGGCTTGTGCTCCAAGACGGGATCGTGGTGGCGAAGAACTACTACGCCAGGCAAGCAGACCAAAATCCTTTCTCCTTCCCCATTCAGAATTTTAAGTGGAAACACCCACGTCCCCATCAAACAATGGCTGCATTGTAGCAGCTCTGAGTGTGCTACCGAAAGGGACCTTCTGATTGGCCAGTAGATGTTCTAAAGCGCATGGTTAATTTTTCTGTTTAAGCATGTGGGGCCCTCCTTTGAAATGATGGTGACACAAAGGTGCCGAACACACATGCATGCATGCGCGCACACACACACACACGCACATACACACACACACACACGCATAAACATGTGCACACACTTGCAAGCATAGGAAACAAAATGAAGTTCAGGTAACACAGAGGCATCATGGGAAAACAGATTGCTAGGCTCACAGACATGTAGGAAGAGACCTGTTGGATCATGGGAGCTGTTCCCTTGCCGGGCAGAATACAGTCCCCTAACTGAGTGCTGAAACGTGGCGGTGGGAGGCGGGGATACACTGCCCCAGAGGCAGCTCCCAGAACCACCCTCACTGATTTAAGCCAGATGCTCGCAGGACCCTGCTCAGCATGGCCTATGAAAGGGCACAGTGCACTTGGGGAGAGGCTGGTGCATCCCCATCCTTTGCTCCTCCCCATCCCATAACTAGCTTGCCGCAGTCCTTGTGCTCGGGGAGTGCAAGGACCGGCGTTCCTGTAATGGGGACAGATTTTGAGGCCCCCCACCCTCCTATTCACAGCCTAGCCCAAGTCCCAGTTCAGTTTGCTACCCACTAGGCCATCCTTCCCCTCTGTACAATACACTAGGCTCTTTCCCTGGTGCTCGCTCTATCCGACTCAGAACACGCCTTTAACAGATCAGCTTAGCGTCGCTAACCCCAGCCACCTGACACTCACGAGTCGTGTCCCTCCAAATCACGAGACTGGTTTAAAAGAATCACCAGGGTTTTAAAAATAATAAACGTGAGGTTCTGTTTAGTTGCCTCCTGGTTTGTGCCTTTGTGTTTTCAAGCTCTTCTCCATAATCATCATGGCTACAAACTTAGCCTTTTTTCAAAATAAAAGCCAAGAGTCTCACCTAATCACCTGACTCCAGGAGCTGGAGCTTTCAGAAAAGCCTCAGATATTGTGATCAAAGGGCAATGGTCTGGGAAAGGCCAGCTCTCAAGGATGGTAGATCCCAGCCCAGAGCTCGAGAAGCAGTGGCTCGCATTGTGGCATTTGATCTGGCATTTATTTGGCCACGAAAGCAGTTTCACATCCATGGTTATGTTCTTGCACCCCGGGCCATGCCATGTTTGTCTTCACAAAACAGACGTTGCTCTCCTCCCTTGCCTAAGAGCTGGGTGGTGATGGCAGGATGGAGATCGGGTGGGTAGGGGAAACATTGTGTTCCCCTGGCCACACTGGTGCGCTTGTTTCAAATGAAACTCTGCCTTGGCCACACCTAATTAGTACACTGCTGCAGGCACGGCCAAAGCAAGCCTGCCTCAGCCAGTGCCCGCATGGAGAGGGGATTGGGTACCTTGGCATCACCCAGACGACTGTCTTCCAAGGCGGAATAGCAAAGTCCGGAGGGCATTTGGGTGTGCATTCAAATGGGGCAGATCCCAGGCTGCTGGCTTTGATGGGCTCCTGTCCACTTCCCCCAGCAGCAACGCATCCTGCTGTGTGTTATCCCAGGAGGGGGAGATGTGGAATTGCGGCACGCCCTGGCCCCATCTCTACCTGCCCCCCTGCCGCTGCCTCCACTGGCTCCTGCCAATGCCTGATCTTCTTTCCAGCAAGTGAGCTCTAATGTAGCCCTGTACCTGGGCTCTGTCCTCTGGCAAGAGAGGATGGGCATGGTTCTACCCGTGAGATCTTCCCTCCACTTAGCTGTGCCAGGCATGGCTGTATCTTGGGGACATCCTCCCAGGAGAAAGTCAGGGCTCTTTCCTTGTTGTCAGCTGACACTGCTCCTCCTTGAGCCAGCTTTTGTACTCAGATTTCCAAAAAGCCTTTGACAAGGTCCCTCACCAAAGGCTCTTAAGTAAAGTAAGTTGTCATGGGATAAAAGGGAAGGTCCTTTCATGGATTGAGAACTGGTTAAAAGACAGGGAATAAAGGGTAGGAATTAATGGTAAATTCTCAGAATGGAGAGAGGTAACTAGTGGTGTTCCCCAAGGGTCAGTCCTCGGACCAATCCTATTCAACTTATTTATAAATGATCTGGAGAAAGGGGTAAACAGTGAGGTGGCAAAGTTTGCAGATGATACTAAACTGCTCAAGATAGTTAAGACCAAAGCAGACTGTGATGAACTTCAAAAAGATCTCACAAAACTAAGTGATTGGGCAACAAAATGGCAAATGAAATTTAATGTGGATAAATGTAAAGTAATGCACATTGGAAAAAATAACCCCAACTATACATACAATATGATGGGGGCTAATTTAACTACAACAAGTCAGGAAAAAGATCTTGGAGTCATCGTGGATAGTTCTCTGAAGATGTCCGTGCAGTGTGCAGAGGCGGTCAAAAAAGCAAACAGGATGTTAGGGATCATTAAAAAGAGGATAGAGAATAAGACTGAGAATATATTATTGCCCTTATGTAAATCCATGGTACGCCCACATCTCGAATACTGCGTACAGATGTGGTCTCCTCGTCTCAAAAAAGATATACTGGCACTAGAAAAGGTTCAGAAAAGGGCAACTAAAATGATTAGGGGTTTGGAACGGGTCCCATATGAGGAGAGATTAAAGAGGCTAGGACTCTTCAGCTTGGAAAAGAGGAGACTAAGGGGGGATATGATAGAGGTATATAAAATCATGAGTGATGTGGAGAAAGTGGATAAGGAAAAGTTATTTACTTATTCCCATAATACAAGAACTAGGGGCCACCAAATGAAATTAATAGGCAGCAGGTTTAAAACAAATACAAGGAAGTTCTTCTTCACGCAGCGCACAGTCAACTTGTGGAACTCCTTACCTGAGGAGGTTGTGAAGGCTAGGACTAGAACAGCGTTTAAAAGAGAACTGGATAAATTCATGGTGGTTAAGTCCATTAATGGCTATTAGCCAGGATGGGTAAGGAAGGGTGTCCCTAGCCTCTGTCTGTCAGAGGATGGAGATGGACGGCAGGAGAGAGATCACTTGATCATTGCCTGTTGGTCCACTCCCTCTGGGGCCCCTGGCATTGGCCACTGTCGGTAGACAGGATACTGGGCTAGATGGATCTTTGGTCTGACATGGTACGGCCCTTCTTATGTTCTTATGTTATGTTCTTCCAGTCTGGACCCTGCCTCTCCTGCCCGGCCTGGGAGCCATTCCTTCTGCAGCAGTTTCCTACCACCCAGCGCCAAGCCACGCTGGTGCAGCCAGTGCCAAAGCCACGGTCAGGTCTCTTCTCTTGCAGGAGGTAACCTGCATGAGCCCAACGCCCGGGCAGTGCATGGGGAGCGGTGGATCAAGGCTCTGCCCACCTGGAGTAGCTGCTTTGCTGAGGCCGCTTTCCCTACCGCCCTGCGAGCCGCCACGTGGGAGTCTGAGGATGTCTCACATTGCTTTATGCTCCTGTACGGTGCATAACACCGGTCACAACGAAGAGACACCAAGCCACTAAACATCACCGCCCATTGTGCCCTGTCTTCCAATGGAACGCCAAGAGCAGGCATCTGGAGCATCTGGTGCGGGATAGATGGGAGGGCATGACTAGTGTTCCAGGAGGTCTCCATTTTTAGGATGCCCAACTGCAGTTGCCGTGAAGAGGCCTGATTCT